TCCCGTGCCTTGTTTCCCCACGGAGCCACTGCTGGTGGGGCTGAGCTGCAGGGCCAGTTCCCAAATGCTTGCCACAGATATCGCACTTTCCCTGCACCGCAGGACTCAGGAGGGCTCCGGTGCTGGAGCCGTGCCTGACTCTGCCCGTTTGCACTGGACAGTCTTTTTTATTCACTGCATTTGTATCCTGCTTCCCCCCCCCCCCCCGTGGCAGGGTCGATGCTCTGGCTTCTGGGGGGGGGCAGCTGGCCTGCCTGCCTGGCACACGCCTCCCACATGGATTGCCATGGGGGGGGGGGGTCCCAATTGGTTTTTATTAAAGTTTCTTTCTTTGTGCAAACAGGGTGGTTTTTTGTAACAACTTTTGTGGGGACTCCTTGGAGAGGGAGGGACAGACCAGTCGGGGGGCTTGGGGAATCCCGCAGTGGAACCGTCCAGTGAATGGAGTCAAGGGTTGCTCCTGGAGATTTGGGGGTGGGTGGGACCTACAGAGGGTGGGATTTGGGGAGTCAGTGGGGTACAAAGCTGGAGATGGCAGGTATGTGGCTGCCTGACACTGCATCAGACCCTTGGTCTGTCGGAAGTCAGCACTGGGTTCTGTTACTGGCAGAGGTTCTCCAGGGTCTCAGACAGAGGTCTGTCACATGACCCCCTCCGTGGCCCCTGTAGCTGGAAACGCTGCCAGGGGTTGAACCCGGGACGTTCTCTGCACCCAGCATGTGCTCCCCCTCTCCTCCAGACATGGTTCATCTTGCCCTTCCTTTAAGGAGCCTGCATGGTTTGCCCTCCCACTCGGTGTCGCGGGAATGAAGACACTACAGGGTCGCCAACTTCCAGGTGGCAACCCTGTAGTTCTCCCGCTGTCATAACTGATCTTTGGATGAAAAGATCGGTTCGCTGGGGCCCCGACCTGGATAGCCCAGGCAAGCCTGATCTTCCCCCTCCTTTAAGGAGCCTGCATGGTTTGTCCTCCCACTCTGTGTCACGGGAATCTTGTCAGATCTCGGAAGCTAAGCTGAGTGAGTGTGAGCCAGCTCACAGTTTTTTAGCCTCCGGCTCACCCATTTTTGTCTTCGCTCGGGAAGGAGGGCTCCAGAGCAAACTCATTTATGCAGTAGCCAAATCGCTCACTCACAACTGTAATGCCAGGAGCTCACAAAGTAGAATCTTTGCTCACAAGCAGTGTTCCCTCTAAGTTGAGTTAGTGTGAGCTAGCTCACAGTTTTTTAGCCTCTGGCTCACACATTTTTGTCTTAGCTCAGGAAGGAGGGCTCCCGAGCAAACTAATTCATACAGCAGCCAAATCACTAGCTCACAGCTTTAATGCCAGTAGCTCACAAAGCAGAATTTTTGCTCACAAGACTCCAAAGCTTAGAGGGAACATTGCTCACAAGAGTCCACAGCTTAGAGGGAGCGTTGCCTGGGAGTGACCTGCAGATCTTCTGCCACTGAGCTGTGGCCGCTCCCCAGATGAATGAACCTAGGTGGGTCCCACAGGAAGCTGCTGCCGGAGATGGGCAGTGGCTCTGACTGCAAGGTCTTCAGCAGAGGCCTGGTCCTTCTCGCTGGAGACGCTGCAGGTGCAGATTGGACCGGGGTAAAAGAAATGAAGAATGTGCATACTGGATGGGGGGATACACTTCTAGGTAGCAGTGTGTGTGTGAACAAGATCTTGGGGTACGGGTGGACCGGAAGTGAAATATGAGCAGCCAGTGTGATGCGGCGACAAAAGAGGCTACTGCGATCTTGGGGTGCATCAACAGAGGCATAACAGCCAAATCGCAATATGTGATCGTCCCGCTGTGCACTGCATTGGTCAGGCCGCGCCTAGAGTCCTGTGCGTAGTTCTGGAGGCCTCGCTTCAAAAAGGATGTGGGCAAAATGGGGCGGGTGCAGAGAAGAGCGACGAGGGTGATCGGGGGAGCCTGGAGACCAAGAAGCCCTCTGAGGAAAGGCCGAGGGACGTCTTGGGAATGTTGAGTCTGGAGAAGAGGAAGTTGAAGGGGGGCCATGATTGCTCCCATGAAGTATTGGAGGGGCTGTGTCGCTGAGAGACGGGCAGGGAGCTATAACCTGTGGGCAGCAGAGGAGAGGACGCGCAATCATGGGTTTAAATTAAGGGCGGGAAAGTACCGGCTGGGTATGAGGGAAAATCTTTTGAGGGTCAGAGTTGTGTCACAGTGGAATCAGCCGCCCGGGGAGGTGGAGCGCTCCCACTCACTGGTCGTCCTTAAGTAGCGGCTGGACAGACCCTAGTCAGGGATGCTCTAGGCCAGTGGTGGTGAGCCTATGGCATGGGTGCCAGAGGTGGCACTCAGAGCCCTGTCTGTGGGCACGCGATGCGTGCCATCGCCCCAGCCAGGCCCAGACCATTGTTAAAGTGTTGAATTCTCTGCCAAATAATTTTAAGTCAATGAAAGCATTTGGGATTGTTTTCCTTACTTTGCTTAGATCATCTTAAGTTAATGTGCGAGTTGTTTTTTTCTAAACTAAAACCTCAGTATTCAGGTTAAATTGCCGTGTTGGCACTTTGCGATCAATAAGTGGGTTTTGGGTCGCAGTTTGGGCCCTCGGTCTCTAAAGGTTCGCCATCACTGCTCTAGGCTGATTCTGCACTGAGCAAGAGGTTCAGTAGGCAGGGGCGGATGAAGGCTCACCGGTGCCCTGAGCATGGACCCATCTCGGTGCCCCCCCCTCCTTCCCACACTGACCCCCAGCCCATTTCAGTGGTTGACCTGTCTGACCAGATAGACAATGCAGGTTGCAGCAATTCAGAAATGTATTCACAGGATAACACCATATATTACTGTCGGAACTAAGCTTTTCACCTTTTCCCCAACTTTGTGGCGCCCCCTTTGGCCCTGGCGCCCTAAGCACGTCCTTCGTCTGCTTCATGGTGAATCTGCCCCCCTTTCCCACTCTGCGTGATCCTGTGACCCTTTCCGCGGCGGCTCCCCTCCAAGTGGTGCGATTCCGGGCGCTCACCCGGCCGCCCCGGGGGGTTGGCAGCGGCCCTCCCCGCGGCGCCGCCACCCCTGGCTCTGCCCTTCTGCGGGCGGTGGCGTCGGGAGCGCGGCGGCGGCGTCATTTCCGGCGGAAGCGGCGGGGCGCAGCCAATGGGCGCGGGGCTGAGGCGAGGAGGGCGCGAAGCTCGAAGGGCGCCATGGCCGGCCTGCCGCTCAACAACCTCCGCGAGCAGCTGGAGCGACACGCCGCCG